GACACTGCTCAGCAGAGCGGGACAGGGCAGCAAACAGCCACGACTTTTCCTTCGGCTCTTCCCGCCAGGCCTGCGGGCAGGGATCCCCGAGCAGCTCCGCTTTCCGAGGCAAAGTGCTCCAGGGCCGAGGAGACGGCGCAGCGTCCGCAGGCAGCGCAGCCTCTGCTCCGGGGGGTTCTCCGTCTGCCTGGGGGAGCTGCAGTGGAAATGCTGCTCTCCCCGCTGTGCTGTCTTCCGAGCAGGTGTTAACAGGAGCAGTTCCATGAGCAGCTTCCAACCAGGGCTGTAAGTCAGCTTTAAATCCAGGCTGAGGGGTGCAGGGGAGACCAGAGGGCTGTAAACCAGCTTCAACTCCAGGCTGAGGGGTGCAGGGGAGACCAGAGGGCTGTAAACCAGCTTCAAATCCAGGCTGAGGGGTGCAGGGGAGACCAGAGGGCTGTAAACCAGCTTCAACTCCAGGCTGAGGGGTGCAGGGGAGACCAGAGGGCTGTAAACCAGCTTCAACTCCAGGCTGAGGGGTGCAGGGGAGACCAGAGGGCTGTAAACCAGCTTCAAATCCAGGCTGAGGGGTGCAGGGGAGACCAGAGGGCTGTAAACCAGCTTCAAATCCAGGCTGAGGGGTGCAGGGGAGACCAGAGGGCTGTAAACCAGCTTCAAATCCAGGCTGAGGGGTGCAGGGGAGACCAGAGGGCTGTAAACCAGCTTCAAATCCAGGCTGAGGGGTGCAGGGGAGACCAGAGGGCTGTAAACCAGCTTCAAATCCAGGCTGAGGGGTGCAGGGGAGACCAGAGGGCTGTAAACCAGCTTCAAATCCAGGCTGAGGGGTGCAGGGGAGACCAGAGGGCTGTAAACCAGCTTCAAATCCAGGCTGAGGGGTGCAGGGGAGACCAGAGGGCTGTAAACCAGCTTCAAATCCAGGCTGAGGGGTGCAGGGGAGACCAGAGGGCTGTAAACCAGCTTCAAATCCAGGCTGAGGGGTGCAGGGGAGACCAGAGGGCTGTAAACCAGCTTCAAATCCAGGCTGAGGGGTGCAGGGGAGACCAGAGGGCTGTAAACCAGCTTCAAATCCAGGCTGAGGGGTGCAGGGGAGACCAGAGGGCTGTAAACCAGCTTCAAATCCAGGCTGAGGGGTGCAGGGGAGACCAGAGGGCTGTAAACCAGCTTCAAATCCAGGCTGAGGGGTGCAGGGGAGACCAGAGGGCTGTAAACCAGCTTCAAATCCAGGCTGAGGGGTGCAGGGGAGACCAGAGGGCTGTAAACCAGCTTCAAATCCAGGCTGAGGGGTGCAGGGGAGACCAGAGGGCTGTAAACCAGCTTCAAATCCAGGCTGAGGGGTGCAGGGGAGACCAGAGGGCTGTAAACCAGCTTCAAATCCAGGCTGAGGGGTGCAGGGGAGACCAGAGGGCTGTAAACCAGCTTCAAATCCAGGCTGAGGGGTGCAGGGGAGACCAGAGGGCTGTAAACCAGCTTCAAATCCAGGCTGAGGGGTGCAGGGGAGACCAGAGGGCTGTAAACCAGCTTCAAATCCAGGCTGAGGGGTGCAGGGGAGACCAGAGGGCTGTAAACCAGCTTCAAATCCAGGCTGAGGGGTGCAGGGGAGACCAGAGGGCTGTAAACCAGCTTCAAATCCAGGCTGAGGGGTGGGAGGGGGGCGTGGGGTGAGCCCACAGGGAGGGATGGGGGGTGCATGCAGTGAACCCATAGGGAGGGATGGAGGTGATGGGGGTGTGCATGGGATGAGCCCATGGGGAGGGATGGAGGTGATGGGTGGGATGTGGGGTGAGCCCACAGGGAGGAATGGACGTGACGGGGGGGTGCATGGGGTGAGCCCATGGGGACGGAAGGGGGGGGCATGGGATGAGCCCACAGGGAGGGATGGAGGTGATGGGGGGGATGTGGGGTGGGCCCACAGGGAGGGATGGAGGTGACGGGGAGGTGCATGGGGTGAGCCCACAGGGAGGGATGGAGGTGACGGGGGGGTGCATGGGATGAGCCCATAGGGAGGGATGTGGTGATGGGGAGGATGTGGGGTGAGCCCACAGGGAGGGATGGAGGTGATGGGGTGGGGGGCACGTGCGGTGAGCCCCATCACCCTGGGCATGTGCTGCGTGTGCTCGGTGAGCTCCACGCGTGCCCCGCTGTCTGTGCGTGTCGCGGGTGCGTGTGCCATGCTCTCCGGCGGGCTCCTCTGCGTGTGCACGCGTGCTGTGCCCTGCTCGGGGAGCTCTGGCAGAAGCCCCGCTGAATCCAGGTTTATTTTGCTGTAGGGGACTGCGGGCCGCTGCCCAACATCAGCCACGCAGAGCCCCTGGAGAACAAGAACCTGAGCTTCAGCATGGGCTCCAAAGTACGGTACGGCTGCCTGGCCGGTTACGTGAAGCGTCCCTTGCTGTCGGACACCATCCAGTGCCTCACAAACTCCCAGTGGTCCAACCTCCCGGAGTTCTGTGGCCGTGAGTTCCTCACTTTCTCTGAAAGGAGCTGCTTAGAGCAGCACGCTGCTTGTGAAAACGTTCACGGCTTCTGCAATCGCTGTTTCAAGGGTTTCCTCACCCGACGTGACGCACGGTGAAGTTGCTTGTCAGAGAATTTCTTGCCGCCCCCTTTTTACTCGCTCTGCTCGGGCCGTCGGAGCTGCGTGCTGGCACCGGTGCCGACGAGACCGGAGCAACGGCCTGGGGAGGCACTGGAGGAGGGGCCCGGCGGCAGCGGGGGGCACTGGCACTGCCCACCGCGGCCGCAGCAGCGAGCCGGGGGCGAAGGTCTGGTCCCGGGGATTTGCAAACCTCGGCAGAGAGAACCGGCTGCACTTCCCCACCCGAAAGGCTTCGTCGGTGGGGGTGGCGAGGGAGGAAGGCGCTGCGCTTGTGGGTGATCGAGAGCGAGCAAATTTTCACATTTAAAATATTTTTCCACTAAATAGTCATCTAGGGATATTTTTGAATTCTACAAATTTGCAATCACCTTCTTAAAGATGTTTTTGGCATCCATATTCTTAGGAAGGCTTGTGTGTTATCACTTGGATTTATGTTCATACATAGTTGAATGTAAAATATTGTTATTCTTGCTTTATAACTGTCTGCTTTGGTTGTCTTCGTTGCTGTCAGGTAGCTGTCCCAGCCCGCCGCGCGTGCTTTTCGCTCGAATATCACGAGAAGATGAAACGCAGAATTTTTACGCCGTTGGTACCACGGTGAAGTACATTTGCCGCCCAGGCTATGAGAACACCGGAGACCAGCTGCCCACCAGCACTTGTCTGGACAATTTAACGTGGGCAGAAGTTCCCGAGCTCTGTCGCAGTGAGTGTCTCCGTCTCCTTGCGTTTTCTCCGACGTCCTCGCGCAGCCGCGTCCGCAGCGCTGTGTTCCCAGTGCCACCACTCATTTGTGTTTTAGGATTGCCGTTTTTTAACGACGTTCAGCATGAAATAGCGTCAGATGCCCGGTTTGACGTTGCCATACTGCCATGAAAAGTACCTCTGTGGGTTTTTTCCCTGTCCTTGCAGCGTCCTAAGGATAATCTTCTTATTTTTTAGGGAAATCTTGCGGTATTCCAGCAAATCCAGAACATGGCAACGTTATTGTGAACAATCATCTGGTCGGTGGAACAGCAGAGGTAGTCTGTAACCATGGGTGAGTGTGAAGCCAGCTGCCCACTGCATCCCAGTTGCCTGGCCAGAGTCACTGGTGTGTGAGCTGGGACGAGGGGCTCTGCCTGTCGAGTCCTCGGCACCTCTGTGGGGTGGCACGTTCTTGGTCGGTGCCAGCAAAGTGGTTTGTGGGTGTGCCTGTCACCCCTGCAGGTACACGCTGAAGGGAGAGTCACCTCTCGTCTGGTGCTCCCTGAGGGGAAGCAAAGTTGCCTGGAGTCACCTTCCAGCTTGTCAGGGTAAGTGAGCTTGTCCAGCGCTTGACCGGAAAGACCAGATATTCCAACTCAGAAATTCGGAATCGTGTGTTGGCTTCACTAAACGAGGGCAGGTAGGTGTCTGGAAAGGAGCTGGCTTGCGTGGTGCAAGCCAGGACGAGCCACTGGCACCGCTGGTGCCTTCTAGTTTAGTAGGAACGG